TGTGTATATTTAAATATGTGACATTCATATTTTTTTTATTAAAAACAAATTAAATAAATAAATAGAAATCGAGAAAAAATAAGAATAAATAAATATATTACAATTTTATATAATAATTTAATTTAATAAAATATTTACTCATGAAAGGTAGATTAATTTAAAGCGCTGTGAATTCATTTTGAATATTCAATATCAATTACCAAGCATGGGGCATATTAACTAAGTATTGGAGATGAAATTTAAGCTATTTTTTAATAACAACTATTCCATTGAAAATAAATAAATAAATGTCTTAACAACCGCAGATTATCGACAGCTAAAACTGCTGCTCTAATATAACCTTTAAGACATCGCTCTAGTTTGGTCGCTCTACATAAACTATGTAGCTGGGTCTTAATTAAAAGTTAGTAATTTGATTTCAACAGAATTGCTGTAAGAGAATAGTAATTGAAAAGTCGAAAATACCTCAACAAACAACAATTGAGTTATATTGAATATAATATTGGTTACGTGTTTGACTTGACTATGAAGCAATGAATTGATTTCCAACTCTCGCACAAATATTATTGACAAACGTTTCATTTAATTGATGCTAGAATCGAGTATTTACTGTTGTGTGAATGCTGTTTGCTCAGATGCAATACAGTCTGTCTAATGATTCCGACTCTCAACATATTGACAAACGCGTCACAGTCGGGCACATCAAATATAATTTTGGCCATGCTAAACAAACTGTCGAGCTGAACAGATTTTGTAAGCATATTATGGTTTCGTTTGGGGATCGCTTGACGTTAGTTTCTAGTGCTCTGCTGGTGTTGCTCCTGCTGCTCCTGCTGCTGCTGCTGATGGTCGTCTGACCGCCGATGCTGCAACTCATTTAAGTTCTAATCACCTGCAACGACGGCAATTAATTAGCTGGCTCGCTCTAACGACAACGGCAGCAACAGTCATTAGTTTGGAAGCCTGGCCCCTAGGCTTCAGCCAGGTCCACTAGCCCGTTGGCAGCATCAGATAAACAACCACATCAGCATCAGCATAATGCGGCAAAGGAGAAACAGTATGTACGGGTTAACGGAGATAGACAGACAGACACACAGAGTGAGAGAACCAGAGAGAGAGATAGACTGACTGAATGGGAGAGAAAGTTGGAGTGCCTGGAGCGCTATTAAAGCGACATCCGATGCAGCAACCCAGCACTCCGGCGGATATTACAAAATAGCAGTAATAGCAGCAACAATATTGCAAAACAAAATATAATTAAGCTCCGACATTTCATTTGACATTGCTTAAACGCAGCGAATTTTGAATCAAATCAAGCTCTATGGGAAAATATTGTGGCGTTTGAGAGTTATTCAAAAACTGTAATCCTTTTTGTATAATAAAGATAAGCGCATAACATTTAATGCAAGCCTGAAAAAAAAAAGAAAATAAATTGTTTATTTTCCTTTTGTTTTATTAAAAACTTTGATATTCCATTAAACGTGTTTTCTGCTACCTTTATTCAACAGGAATTTTACTCAAATATAATAGCATGTTCGTATGTTAAATCAACCAATATACATATGTATATGAAAAAGACACCATGCGAACTGAGACGATGTGGTCCGAAATTTTTATATTAAAAATTCAAGTCGTTCAGCGCTCTATTGCAGCTTTTTACATTATATATAAGTAATAAATTCAAATTAATTTGTTCCTCATTTTAAATTAATATACATTTAAATAAATCCATGTAAAAATATTTCTCAGAGCAACTCCTTGCACTTGGCTTTGATCATATTGAAGGTAACGCTGCCAACATTCTGTGCAGCATTGTTGAGCATCTCGAATATGTGATGATTCTGCTGACCCTGTTCCACTGTGCGCTCGTGCAGGCGTTTCAGGGCTGCCGCATACGCTTCATACTTGGACGTGCTCTCCGTGTCCAGTTTGAAGCGTTCGTACAGCTGTTGTATGTCATAGAGCAGCCGGTGTGTGTCGTCGAGGAGCAGGCTGGGCGTCTGCGGCAGCAGCTGTGACCACTGCTGATGCACTTGCTCCAGAAACTCAAAGTTACTGAACAGGAAGATGACGAACAGATCCAAGCCCTTCGCTTTCAGCTGCTCCAGCAGCTGCTCGGTAATGTGCTGATCGGCGTTGGCGCTCTCGCGCAGCTGCTCGTACTCCGCATGCAGATGGCGCTCCAGAAACTCATAGACACTCTGGCGCTTGTCAAAGAAGTCGGGTATGGCCAACATGTTGTCCAGCTGCTGCAGCAGCCGCTCCAGTTGCGTTGCATTGTCCGTCAGATCGGCATGCTCGGCATCGAGAATGTCTTGCAGCAGGCCTCGTAGTATCAACACATAGTTGTCTATAATCTCGGCGCCCGATAGCTTCACACGCTCGTACAGCTCTTGCCCAAATTGGCCGAGATCCAGGCTGGATGCATTCATCGAGCTCTGCGTCACATTCAATTGGTTGAGGGCTGCGCCCACAGTTTGCTCGTTGATCAGACGTTGTCTGCGCGGCTCCGTCACAGGCCGTTCGAATTGCTGGCAGAGCCGATGGACGCGCAGTTGACGTATTTCCTGGGTGCTGGCATCTCTAGCAGCGCGCAATTGCTGCCTCAGGCGGCCGAGAAACACCAGGTTGCGCAGCACACAGGTGTGCTCCAAATCGAGTTGTGTGTGATGTTGAGCATCCAGCAGCTGTTTGATTAGCAACACCTTTGGCTGCAATTTGTGGGAAGCTCGCGCCACGGCCAGTTGCTCAGTGTAGTTGCTAAAGCTGGCATTGCGCTCCAGTTGCTGCAGATAATCGTTGAGGCTTTGCTCGGCGCGCTGCTCGGCCTGATCGCTGAGGGCGCGCAGAAAGTCCAGCTGATAGTCCTTTGCCGCCAGCGAGGCTACTGGGGACTTGGCAGCCGCAGCTCCGGCCACAAGCCACAGCAATGCCACCCAATGGTGCAGCGATAAATGGAACATCTTCCAGTGAATACTTCCGATGGCGAACTAACCGATAGAGGCAGCAGTTGTGCCTGCTGCTGCGGCGCATCGTGGGTCAATTTTTATTGCAGTCGCAATGTAAACAACGTTGTTACTCAGCTCAGCTCCGTCCGATTAGCAAGCGTAGGCCGACGGGGGCCGCTCGTAGTGTGGTTGTGGCTTAGCGCGGCGGGCGACGGGGTCAGTCGGTTTGGCGATAACGACCAGCAGAGTAGAGCAGAGCAGAGCAGCCGCTGCTGAATGAACTAAATGAACAGGCGGCTTATCGCTGCGACAGCGTGCAGCTTGCGAATGCACTGAGCGAAATACTGCGGCTGACCACGCCTCGACCGCAGTTAACTTTGGCACGCGACTGAGCAGCAGCAGGCCAAAGCAAATTCAAATAAAGTTCACAATATTCACAATATTCGTGCCCAAGCAATTGCCCACATAAAAAGTGACTCAACTCTGAGTACAAATTGCATACCCTAACAACGTTCTGGAGGGAACAGCAAGAGAAAGCAATAAGCAAAATAATACTTAAAAAAAAAATATGTTCAGCTGTGTGAATAATTAATTATTTATATTCAATATTCAATATTTTATAATTTAACAAAAAGAATTTACTCAATTAAAAAACTGAATAATTATTTTCTAGCAATATCAAATTTCAATTGAAATTACTGAATATTATGTATATTATTTTATTATTAGCACAATAATAAAAAATATCTATAAGATAATAAATAATAATAAAATTAGTATACGATAATAGCTTGAATAAATAGTTATATTTATAGCATACAAAATTCAATTTAAATGTATTATTCATGTATTTTACAAATTATATTATACATGTTATATAATTATAAATATAACACCTATTTAAACCCAATTAAAATGAAATATGTTCAACATTTATATTACATTTCACTTGAATTAATTTTTATTATTTTTTTTTATATATATATATATGTAAGGCCTATAGAACATCTTAGTTATTCAAAATATAATTTTCATGTAAACTAAAATAATATCAGAGGTAATATATATTTTATAAAAATATTATATTATTATTAAAATTTAAATTTTATAACATTTATATACTATATGTTAAATAGAAATATAACATTTAATATTATTTGTATGTGAACTAAAATAAATTACGGAGTATTTTTATATAATTAATATTAAATTCAAATCTAAATTATTTATTATTATTATACTTCTATCGTATCTGTAGTATCACAATTTAAAGAGCTTTAGCTCGGCTCACATTGAAACAACAATTGTCAGCTGCATTTAAAAGGTCGAAATCATCAGGAGTTAGTATGGACCCGAACACTAACTGCTACAAATGGCTAAGACCAACGAGACACTAGATGTTGCTTTACCCATTTACCTGAGCTCTGGCCCACACTTTCTCTCTCTCTTTCTCTCTCTCTCTCACCCTCTCTCTTTCTCTCTGCTCTACGTGTCTGTGTGTGTGGGTCGGTACGTGAGTGCACGTTCGAGACGGGGCAATTGTTGACCAAGCAGAGTTGCTCTGTGTGCCCGGCCACTGGCAAGTTAAATAAAAGTTGCAGACGCTTTTCATTCATTGACAAAACTTCAACGGCATCCTAATTGTGCCATGGCGTGACTCGGCTTGTATCTGGCTGAACCTGGACTCGTTCTATCTGAGTGCTGTGAGCCAGTTTTTACCGCAGCCTGATTGAAATTTGTCAGGTTGATTGAACCACCTTTTGGGCAGGACAGCCGATGAAAGGCTTTTTTCTCAAATTCTTTTTTTGGTTTTGTCTTCTTTTTTCTGCTGTATATCTATTTTCTTTGCCGGCTTTAAATCATTGCGGATGGCAAACAAGTTTAGTTGCAGTTGCGTTTCGTCTTTTATTTTCCGTTTGATTCTTTTCGTTTATTGCAAGTTGGCAGTGTGCCCATCTTGTTCATTAGCTTTAAATATTTGATCAAAGCGACTAATGGCTAAATACACACACACACACACACACACGCACAGAGTCAAAAAATAAAATAAAATAAAATCAACTGTGCTTCTGTCTTTAGCTAGCTGTTGGCCCGATTCGCGTACTGCTGCCGCAAGCAACTTCATGATTGCCAACACCTATTAAGACAGCAGCCCAGAGCCCGCCGGATGGGAAGCCTGGCAGCCGCAACACACAAAACTTACGGGCGTAAAAAGTGAGAAACGACCAGCAACAAAATAACAAAAAGAAAAACAGCAACAACAACAACAACAAAACAAAGAAATAAAACTGAAAAAAAAAAAAACAAAAATCGCAACGTACAAGTTTTTAGCAAAAGAAATTTTCCAACAATTGCACAATTGGCATGCTCTACGCATGCGGATGAATGCGCTGCAGGGGATTTAAACGCAGAGACTCTTTGGTCAACAACAAAGGCCAAGCCGAGTCAACTTGAGCGGAAAGCGTTGGACAACCAGTTAAATTTTAAATTTAAGGAACTATGACGGATTTTATGTACATTGCTTAATGGAGATACATTGAAGAGATGAGAGGAATGTAGGATGCAGTCAATTTAAATACCCAAGATGATAATCAAATGAATTTTTTTTTAACAGATGTCGCTCCAGATATACGTAGACCCATATAGCTGTCTTTGTCTTTGATCAGTCTTTTCCTTGGCTGACCTATTACAGTACCTACTCCCTTTAAAGTCATTCTGTCTATTTGGAAACTTTCAGTAAAATAAACACAAATACAACTAAGCGATAGTAATTGATTAACCCGAATAAGAAATCAAATAAAATGCTTTACAAGTCCTAATTTCCACTTTATAGAGGACATTGTCAACGGCAGTTAGCCTGTTTCAGCACACTCGTGTTATTTCTCTAAAAAACTTTGCCATTATTTTCCATCACCAACGAACGAAGCCAGACACATATACCTATATATTTTTTTTTTTTTTAGCCAAAAACCAAAACGAAACTTTGTTGCTGTATGGGTGGGCGATGATGGGGCCAAGTGGGAAGGCGATTGTCGACTCTGGGCCATCCATAAAGCTCCAGACGAGCAGGAGACATCCTGGTTGGTTGGCGTGAAAAGTGCTAAAAGCGTTTAAATGAATTTAAAAGAGCAAAACTTTCGGTATTTTGTATTTTTTTTTTCTTATTTTTTTTTGTCTCTAACGAAAGGAAAAAATATGGGAAAAGAAGAAATTGCTCAACTCTTTCAGTTTTTATGCGTTTCACATTGTTTTTCCATGCTGTGATTTTGTTTAAAGTTATAAAGTTGGTCGCCAGCCCGGTTGGGATCGAATGGCTTGTCTCTGTGCGTGTGTGTGTGTGTTGTTAGGGTAATTTCCATGCAAATGATAAGCTGACTCTCCGTCTACAGCCAGCAGCCAATGCCAACTTAATTGATATGCTCTGAAAGAACAACAAGAACACCACTGACAGTCACTGAAATTTCAGCTAAGCAAACTCAGCCCCGCCCGCGCTCCACAAGCCCCGCTCTTAGCTCTTAGAGTCACACTGTCAGAGTCTATTGCTCGGGCCCAGACACCAAAGAGTAACCCAATTCGCAAGTCGCACAAATTGAGATGTATGGGCCATATAAATGCAACTGAAAATCGTAAGAGCCAAAGGCAGAAGTGCAAAAATCTAACTGAACACCGAACATGTAGACACTTTCGATTCAAAAATATAATAACGAGCGAGCGCATGTGTCTCATATCGATTAAAGATGAAATTTCCCTTTTTCATAATATTTATTATTATATTATATTACTGTGTTTTAAGTCCACAATCCATTCATTCATAATTCATATCTGTTCTTCAATCAAACTATTATATATATATATATTTTAATAGAAGTATAATAATATTAATATTTACATATTTTCTATGGGAATAGAATCCTTAAAGATATACATATTTCTTGCACAGATTCCAAATGGAATTTGAATTGTTTTTACACATCATACAATACTAGATCTTTAAATAATTATAAGATGCTCATAATCTTAGTTTCCTCATCCTTTTACACAATCTTACATTATTCCTTTTCTAATGCTTATATTTTTTTAATGTTCATCATTCATCTGAAGTCAATCGTAAGTCACAAATGGTGTGCGAATATCAAGTAAACTAGTATTTGGTGAGTGTATAGAAAGTTTGTCTTTCGTTGCTCTGTGTCGTTGTTTCTAGTTGGCGGATTAAGCTATGAGTTGAGAAGCGGCAAATAAACATACAAAAAAAAAAAAAGAAAAAAACTAGACATATATTTTTCAAGTTTACTTTTCGTTTGCTGCTGCTGGTGCTGGTGCTGCTGATGAAAAGTGCACTTTAAATTGTATGCGCTATAAAGTATGCTACGAAAATACTGTTGGCTATGTCTGTGCTAGCATTTCGGACTCCCTCTCGTTGTGCATCGAATTTGGGTCAGGGTTGACTGTTTATGCATTTAACAACATATCTCACCCACTGAGGTAACAAACTGGCTTTGCCACTGGTTTCTCTTTTCTGGTTTTTGGCCAAGTTCAGTCCACGCGTTTGCCAAGCTTTTCGACTGCTGTCAGCATGGCGCTCACAGAAAATGCCAATGCACAATCACACACACACTTACAGCACTTACTGGAAAGGAAATCGGAAAACGGTAGCCATAGCCGTAGCCGTAGCTGGGCAAGTTAGTTAGGGCAGTGGCAGGGCACAAGTTCAATCAAGCAAATGTAATGCTGCTCCGCCTGCCAATTGCAGGCGAAAGCGCAAAATACAAAGATTGAAACTAGTTGTAGCATTGACAGTTTGACTGAATAAATGAGTGACAGGGCAACAGTGTGTGTGTGTGCTTGTCCGTCTCTCTCTTCCCTCCATCCCTCTCTCGCTCGCTCTGCCTCTCTGTGTGCGTGTGTGTCTTTGCGCTTGTATAGCGTTGCTGTCGGTCCTTGGTGTTTTTGCCACTGTCCAACTATTGTAAATACAGGTGGGGCGATCATATAGTTATAAGCATGTTGTTTATTGTATTTGCGTGCGAAACATAAGATGCAGGAGTACTAGAAGAAGCTGCACCCAATCAAATACATCACAATGCGATATCAACTCTTGTTTTTTAGCAAAGCATATTCAAGTGGTAAATAATATAAAAATATAAATGAATATTCAGTTAATATTGTTCTGTTGTAGAAGACTGAGCAAATGTATTGAATTTCTTTAGCACAGGCAATTGAAGGGAGAGATCTTGTTGACTGAAATCGAATGTATGATACAACTAGATAATAAAATTCATTTCATATACAAAAGCGCTGACCAGCGACGTTCTCATCCAAGGCAGTCCCAAAGTGAATTCTTGTCCGGATTTTCATTGCATAGTTGCCCAAATCTACAGCAACATAATAAATATTTGGATGTCTTAGGCTTCTTAGGCAATTGCGTATGCTCAACCCTCGCAAATTTGTCTATGAATATCTCTGTATGTGTTCAGACACTCAAACACACACACATTCATGACCGCTGTATATGCACTTTAATGTAAGCAAAGCAAGTCAGGAATAGAAGCTACTCAAGCGGAAATGCGCATAACTGCATCACAGTCACTACATACACATACACACACTCGCACAGAGACACACACGCACACACACACGCACACGCACACGCACAGTCTGCACTCGGAGCTCATAGAGCTGAGGACTTAAGTAACCGCCCTGCCTGCCAATGGCAATGGCAATGGATGCGTCGCTTGCCTCTGTGAGTTCCTAAGTGCTGCTTTATTAGCCAGGAGACGACAACAACATCAACCACAACAACAAAGACAAGGACTAAAGCATCGACCACTTTGATGTGGACGATGGCCTCAAACAAGCAAACAAGCAAACAAAACAAAACACAGCCAAACAACAACGGCGACAGCAGCAAGCATCAAGTCTCCTGCTAAAGTCGACTTGGCCCAGCTACCCCAAATGGCGTTTCAATTATGCAATAGTGCATCCGATTGAATTACAACCAGATCCAAATTACATTAGCCGTCTAATGGCCAATTCCACGGCCAGCAGCAGCCAAAGCAAAACACATGTCAAAGCAATATAATTAGATGTACTTATGGGCAGCGGCCGGAGCGATCAGTTTTGTTTTAACTATGAACGAATGTAGAACGTCTTGGAGCACACCCAACTATGGCATCATGAAATATTTCCTGCCACTACTGCTGTTGTTGCTGGAGAGTGGAGCAGTGCAAGCAAAAATTTACAAAAAGGAGCCTTTGTAAGTGCCATTTCAAGTTAAGTTGGTGTATAACCAGGGCCGGATTAACAAATTCGATCAGCTAACAACTTGTAGATTTTAGCTGAAGAACAGCAAACTGTAGGAGATGAAGTTTAGGAAAATTTCAGGTCTCACTGTGAGTATTTGATATTATATCAATCCCTTATATATTATATATTTTTTTTGTTCCGATGTATACTCCTTTTTTTTTTTGTATTTGGCCTTTTTCTCACTTAAAGTAATAGCGCATCTGTAATATTTTCCGCTTGTGTTCCATTCACTTGGTGAACAAGTAAAAAATAGTTTAAAAATTAATCTGTTTGGAGCCGTATAATAAAACATCAGCCGGAAGGCCAATTTTCTAATTAGATTTTAAGCTGTTTCAGCCTTTTAATATAAGCGTTGCGTAGCAGTTTTGGTTCCGTTAGTACAACTACTTGATCCCGCAAAGCAAAATAAGTTTTTGTCAATTTTTGTTTACATATTTTTGTGTAGAACCTATACATCAGATTTAGTACTATACTCACATAAGGATAGAAAACTAATAAGAGAACCTAAGCCCATAACAAGTTATGTCTTAGAAAAAATAAAAAAAATAATAAATTCAATTGTCTAATGTGTGTAAGGAATTTAATTACTAACTTTAACAATTACATTGTTATATTTTATGAACTACTTAATGTCGTATAATTTCAAACATTATTTCTCCAGTTTTTATACGTTGGTGGCACCTTATACCATCTCTTCGTATCAACCCTATAGAATTGCAATGACTATTTACAATTGCAAATATTTGTGTAGCTATCGTTTCCATCTCCGCGGCCCCAACCTCACTTTGAGCACGAAATTGAATCTAACTCCATACTTTCCAACTGAAACGTATGACTTTAAAATTCCGAAATTAGATGTTGGCACTTATTGGTTAAAGGTAGACACCGAGAAAGGATGTTATCTGAAGAGCTCATCGATCTTGAAACGGCGTAAATTTAATGGGATTCTTGAAGCTCAAACGCGCAAGGTTTACTATGATCCCGGACAACCGCTACAATTTCACGCATCGAGGATACAAATAGATATGACTATTCCAACTGAAGTAACATTAAGTGACCGCAACTTGGATCTAGTGTTACCTGCAATAGACGCTGTTGATGGCCCTGTCAAGAGCCCTGTTACTCTTAATATCGAACTAATGGGTGCAAATACCACAAAAACTTCGCCAGTTGTACAAAGTTTAATCCAAATGGAAAATGGCACAGCAAAGATCAATATTGATCTACAAGAATTCAGAGATGAATTAAATGCGGGCAAGCTAAAAATAACCTCAAGTATTCATGGTAGGTTAACTAAACCAGAACAAAACAGAAGTAACTCTACCCAACCTAAACCATCGGAAATGGATCCTACGTAAGTATTTTCCTTCGAAATAAATAACCAATCTCTCAATAGACTCTTGACATTCAGTGATAAAGCTGATACACCAATGAAATCAATGAAGACAGTCTACTTCAATGTGAGACACGAGATTGAGAGTGCAGTGGCTATAATGGTATATAATCGCCGTATATTAGATTCAAAAAAAGTCCTTCCAGATAGCACGAAAAAACGTTTTGAAATCCATGTTGAATTGAAACCGCAATTGTTTCCAACCATCTTAGTGTTCTTGAACTATGTGCACGTTCCATCGAAGACTTTATGCCTACAATCTACACTCTTAGAGGTAGCGCTATCACATAACGACGGTGTAAGTGCGCAATTAAACACAAAAAATGACCATTGAATTAACTTTTGTACCTTAAAGGTCTTTACCGACAAATCGGAGCCTGGCGTAGATATCATGTTCAATACAAAAGCTAGACAAAATGCTTATGTTCGCCTTACTGCTTTGAATAATCGAGTTTATGTTCTTGGTGAAAATATGGATATGGACTTTCAAGATTATTTCGATTTTATGAAATCATCCGTGATGGTGACCGATAAAATGCAGAGCAACAAGCCAGCTGTTATAGAAGCGGGATTACTATTTCTGTCAAATGCCCGCCATACTTCCAGCACAAATCACAATAATTGAATAAATACACTTGACTATGATGGTGTTTAGTTATGTATTCATCTTTATATACCCAGACTCATGCATAGTGCGTCTATTGCTGAGTGTGTAAGGCTCAGCATTGTGTAAGGATCAGCATTACATATTCCTATCTTATCGTTGAGTTTGAAAGACTCCGCGTCTCCGGGTCTTTTAGTTATTCGTATATTATCGCCGAATTTTTAAGGCTCAGTACTCTTCTCTAACATATTCTGACGCTGGGATTGCAAGGGTTATCATGGTAGTTCCCTTTAATATGTTGCTACTACTGCACATTGACGTTGTAGCCTGTGCAGAAGTTTGATTTTCATCCATAGGTCGAACTTTCAATTGGATATCTGTTGATATAACGTCGATGTCGAAAATGTGGCCGAAATTCCATTCACATCCTCATCTGCCTTGTTCTCCGGATCCTTTATAGGAATTGGTGGAACCCAGGCATTTTTTTTATTGATCTATTGTCTCCACCAATATCTGTTTTTGTTATTACTATTTTAACTTTAATGCCTTGTTCATTAGTTAAATTTCCTCCCATGTGGGTGCTTGTCGGTGTGTTGCAATCCCACTTTTTGAGCACAGTTGCATCCCAAGCAGCCTGATATGCTGTCGACCCATCAGCTGTGACGTTGGCGTCATTATTCTTCCTTCCTTTGTACCGCTTGCATAAATATTGCCACGCTGCATTGTACTTGCCCACTCCAATTGAGAAATACCTTATGGCTCGTTGACCGTCTACTTAGAGATACATTTTTAGTTATATCAGTTTCGTCTTGTCGCTGATATCCTTTCTGGTATTAATTATTCTGTTGAAGTGCACGAAGACTTCCATTAGAGTGAGGAGTGTCGGTCTCGGTCGCATTGGAGTGTCTCTATTCATGATTCGCAGATCACTTACTTTCATTTCCAGCATTTACACCATGACTTCCAATGCATCTATGCCACCGATTTCGTGGGTAGACTCTCTAAATCGGTAAGCGTGGACTGGACTTTATTCCTTACAACCAAATTTAAATTACATCAGCCGTCTAATGGGCAATTCCACGGCCAGCAGCAGCCAAAGCAAAACACATGTCAGAGAAATATAATTAGATGTAATTATGGGCAGCGGCCGGAGCGATCAGTTTTGTTTTAACTATGAACGAATGTAGAACGTCTTGGAGCGCTCCCAACTATGGCATCTTGAAATATTTCCTGCCACTACTGCTGTTGTTGCTGGAGAGTGGAGCAGCGCACGCAAAAATTTACACAAATGAGCCTTTGTAAGTGCCATTTCAAGTTAAGTTGGTGTATAACTAGGGCCAGATTAACAAAAAGGCAGTGCAGGCAGTTGCCTGAGGCCCCTGATTTTAGAGGGTTCCCGAAAAAAAAAAAAAAAAAATGGAACGAACGTGAAAGAAAAGGGGCCCACAATTGATGGTCTCCTAGGGTCCCCTTAAGAGCTAATCCGGCCATGAATATAACTATAAGTTAGTAACCAGAAAAGCACATCCGATAAGCTTAGATGGAAGTGCTTGGCTAGAACATACAAATGACTAATTCATTCGAATCATTAATTCATATTAGAGTAAATCAGTTTTTTTTTTTCTTCTGGCATTTTCTCAATTTAAATGCGCTGGGTATAGGTGTAATATTTTCCGCTTGTACTCCATTCTCTTGGCGAAAAAGTAAAAAAAAGAAAAAATTAAAAATTAATCTGTTTGTACCCACGTAATAAAACTACACCCGGAAGGCCAATTATAGATTTCGTAATTCAATTTCAAGCTGTTTCAACGTTTGAATATAAGCGTAGCACGTTCATTGCTTGATCCCGCAAAACAAAATAAATTTAAAAAACTCAAGTTTTTTGTTATTGATAATTAAATAAGTATAGAGCCTGTACAGATGTAGTACTATAACAACAGAAAGGTAGAAAATTAATAAGAGTACCAATCTCCATTAAAAGCTATGAGGATTTCAAGTGGTTGGGGGCTTACTGATGTCCAATTGTTATAGCAAAGCCTTGCCTTGTACAATACAAATAAAAATATAATATACATTCAATAACTATTGTCTAAGATGTGTAGCGAAATTAATTACTAACTTTATCAATTACTTAATAATATTTTATGAACCACTTAATATCGTCTAATGCACTACCTTTTTTTTAACATTATTGGTACAGTTCTTATACTTTGGTGGCACCTTATACCATCTCCTCGTATCAACCCTATAAGGTTGCAATGAGCATTTACAATTGCAAATATTTGTGTAGCTATCATGTCCATCTGCGCGGTCCCAACCTCAATTTGAGCATGCAATTGAATCTAACTCCATACTTTCCAACCACAACGTATGACTTTAATATTCCGAAAATAGATGTTGGTACTTATTGGCTAAAGGTAGACACCGAACGGGGATGTTATCTGAAGAACTCAACGACCTTGAAATGGCGTAACTTTAATGGGATTGTTAAAATACAAACGCCCAAGGCTTACTATAATCCTGGACAACTGCTACAATTTCGCGCATTCTTTCACAATGAGAGTCTGTTGCCCATAAAAGCAGATGAGAATGCAGTGATATGGGTTGAGGACTCCAAAGGATTTCATGTCAAAGGCTATAGGAATCTTGAGCTAAAACATGGAGTATACGAAGGTGAATTAAGACTCAGCTCACATCTCAATTTTGGTTTTTGGCGCATTTGTGCCAGAAATGGTTACCATGTCAATGAGGAATGCGCCACTATAAAGGTCGAAAAATATAGGTTATCGATGATGCAAATAGATATGACTGTTCCAAGAGAAGTCAAATTAAGTGACCACACATTTGAGCTAGTGGTACATGCAATGCACGATGTTGATGGCCCTGTCAACAGCCTGGTTACTATTTATGCCGAACTAATAAGTGAAAATAAAACAAAAACTTCGCCAGTTGTACAAACTTTGAACCAAATGGAAAATGGCACAGCCAATATCAATATCCACCTAGAGCCATTCGAAGATGACTTAAAAGACGTAAATGCGGGCAAGCTACGTATAACCGTAAGTATTTATGAGGGGTTATTACAACAATATCTAAACAAAACATGGATGGTAACAATTTGGACCAAGAATGAGGATGGCGGCAACTCTACCCAACCCAATCCACCGGAAAAGGGCCCTACGTAAGTAAGGCATTCAAAGCAAATACATTTTTCCTTCGAAATAAATAACCAGTCTGTCAATAAACTCTTGGCATTCAGTGAAAAACCCGCTAGACCAATGAAATTAATGGAGTTAGTCTACTTCAATGTGAGCCACGAGATTGAGAGTGCAGTATCTATGGTGGTATATAATCGCCGTATATTAGATTCAAAAAAAGTCCTTCCAGATAGCACGAAAAAACGTTTTGAAATCCAAGTTGAATTAAAAAAGCGATTGCTGCCAGCCTTTTATGTGTTCTTGTACTATGTGCACATTCCATCAATGACCTTATGCCTACAATATGTAATTTTTAAGGTGTCGCTATCACATCACGACGGTGTAAGTGTGCCATTAAACACAAGAAATGGACTTTTAAATAACTTTTGTGCTTCAAAGGTCTTTATCGACTTACCCGACAAATTGAAGCCTGGCATAGAGATCAGTTTCAATATCAAAGCGAGACAAAATTCCTACGTTGGCCTTACTGCTATGGATAATCGAGTTTATGTACTTGGTGAAAATATGGATAATGATTTTCGTGAAGACTATTTCGAATTTATAAAATCATCCGTGATGGCGTCCGATATAATGCTGAGCGAACGTCAAACTGTTATAGGAGCGGGATTATTATTTCTGTCGAATACCCACAACAGTTCCAGCAAAAATCACAGTATGTTTAAAATGATTTCTTATACTCATTCACGAAGTGAAATGTCCATCTTGGTGTCCGATATTATCGATACACGATCGGGTAAAACGGTATAATTTACTATTTCAGAGCTATATCACCGCATAAATTGAATCTACACCTATTTGTACCTGTCTTATTCTAAGAAAGGGAAAACTTGTCGAATTAATTACTCTCGGTCTTGTCTATGGAATTACCAAGAAATAAATAGAGAAAATATTTAGACTACTTTCCGACTAGTTAAAAAGAAAAGAAAACAAGTATCACCTTTTTTCGGTCCGTGAATGAGTATTATGTTGTTGGTAGTGCTCGACTGCAAATATTCTTAATTTATTATTTTTTTTTATTCCATTCCATTATTCCAGCTATTAGATTGTCAAAGCCAGTGGAGAGCTTTAATTACACAATTGCAATGAGGCCAGAATTTCATGAAATAACGAATTTACATAACGATTCCATAAAGTCGAACTATGCATGTTGTCGTGTACCAAAGCTACCCGACGCTTTTAACGATATTTGGCTGTTTAACAGCATAGATTAGTAAGTTTGTATCAATATGATTTGTATACGTAATTTCTATAATACTTTTAATGTAGTACAAAATCTGATTGGACAGCATGGCATACCACGGTGCCCCAATCCGCTGTTGACTGGAGAATGAGCGCATTTTCAATTCATCCTGAGATGGGGCTAACATTTTTAGCGCCAAAACCATTTAAGAATGTAAAAACCATCGGCGATATTTTTTACACTGTGAAGGCTCCCAGCAACGTAAAACGTGGTAGGCAACACTAAATTATACACATTAATACAATTTTTTAATTTGATTTTTCTGCTTTCTGCCTTATTGTAACCTTAGGCGAAGAATTTGAAGTCGCTTTGTTGTGTACTAACTGGTTTGGTACAGCGTTAACACTCGATATAAGACTTAAGCCGACTCCACACTTCAAATTGCTTAGGCTAAAGGGACAATCCAAGAGCAGTTTAAGTATCAAATTGATCAAATTAGCGGTAAATGAGACTAAAAAAACAATATTCAGAATACGCGCCCAGAAGCGAGGAAAAATGGTACTGTATTTTACCATAGAATCAGATGGTGGTAACCATGAGATAACTAAAGAGATCGACGTTCTGCTCAACCTTAAATTTAGGACCCAGCATTTCTTTAGATATAAAGTATTAACACTCCGACACCAATCTATGAAAGGCACAATAAAATTGCAGGGCCGACCATCCGAAGCGAGCATCAAGTGCTATATAAGTGGTCACTTGGTTGTACCAAGGTTGCAAAATGTGAAGTTTCTGGAAGAAGAGGATAATACCGAGGAAATAATTAGCAAGCTGATGTCCATGTATTTGTTGTATAACTATGTAATGAATGCTACATGGTGTTCACCAGACTATAAGCAGTTTCTAAGGGAGCAGTTGATCGGCGGCCTACAATCGCTGATGCGCGTGCGTCATGCGGATGGAGGATTCCGATTGCATGTTCAAAATGAGATGGCGAACTGTACGTCAACATGGATGACAGCGTATGCCGTACAATACTTAAATTACTTAGAGAAATTACCAAATATAATCTACGAACCGAAATTTATAAAACAAAGTGAGAAGTTCGTGTTAAGCAAACGTGGACCGTACGGAGAGATCCTAGAGAATTGCTATACACCTAGCCGACGAAATTTATCAACTCTGGAGCTAAATATCGAAGTCTTAAAGGTTCTGCAATTTTCCAACCGTCTGATCGCATTGAAAAAGCCCCATGCGTGGGTTACCTTTAATATGAATCAGAAATTCAATTACTTTTTGGAAGCCAAGCGCGGACTTAACCCAGTTGTATGGCAAATTCCAAAAGAAAATGATAACTGGATACAATATCGGCGTGACCTTGAAACAGCTGGACGTATTTTATCCAGAGAAGTTACTCTACAAAACCCTGAACAGCAGCTTAAAATATTCAAGTGGATAACGCACCAGTTCCTCGGCCCAATGTTCAATGTCTTCTGTTATGAGTCCTTTATTGCAGAGCAGGCCTATTACGATTATCTGAATACGATACCGATTCTTAAAGCAGATATAACCCTATCGTTGTGGTCAAATTCGAGGGAAGAGAGTAAAAAGGTGTACATCAATAGTATAAATGAATGGACTGAGCAAATTGTAGAAGTAGACATAGTTAACTCTTCTATCAATTTCGAAGCCGATGGCATAGGGAACCTTGTTGTGCGCTGCAGCTATGAATTTCTTGGAGAGGATACAAGTAACAAAACATTGTACCATGCAACCATAAAATTCATTGATAAATTGCAAATCAAGTTTTGCGTTCAGCGCTTTGGAAGGAAACGAAAGGCGTATATGGGCACGAATATAGACATACAGTTGCCATCGGGATATATTCTGGATGAGGAAAGTCTACCCCTGTTAATGCAAAAGAAATTGATTGTTGTAAGTCAAAGTCCCTACATTAACTGAAACCTAAATTGTAAGTTAGGTCGCATATGATTATTATAGCACTCTCAGTAGGTAAAAACTATAGTTTGATCTGTACCATGGTAAATATTAATTCAGAGTATAATGATGTTGTGACAATTTGGAAAAGCGGAAGGAACCAGAGACTGAAATTCTATATATTCTATGGTTTTATGCCTTACTTATCCAATATCCTTCTTATCGGCCATAGCTCAAAGACCTTAAAAAATTCTCAAATTTGCTGTATTTCGTATATTTGAATTTATATTAAATACTATTAAATTATATTGTATTATATCAATTTAAGAAAACGCATTTAAAACAATTACTTGACAAACATTTAACTTATTTAATTTATTTATTATTTTTTTATTTCAATAGCAAGCGCTAGCAACGCACAAGAAAAGTAATCTTTTCGTGACTATGACCCCACTTCCAAAAGCCAAATTGTTTTGCTATACTTTCAATACTATGAAAAACGCTGAGGTAAAGAAGTTGAAAAACGCAACGATGTCTATTCATGATTTTAACGATTCAGAAAATTCCAATATATTTAGCTACAATGCCTTTAAGGAAAACGCTTGAAAAACTGTATAATTGCCAATTTCCGTAATAAATATGTGTAAATTTTATATTAATTAGCCGGCGTTCTCATTAGCAATGTTAACTGACAAAACTTTGGCACAGCCAGCACTGGAGTTGGAGTTGGAGTTGGCGCTGGCGCTGGAGTTGGCGTTGGCGCTGGAGTTGAGTCTCGAGTTGTTTACATGTCGCCCACCCGCTGCAGCAGCTGTGCGCCTTCCCACAAAAACGTAAACGTGAAACGTAAAACGTAAAGCGCATACGGCGGCAACTGCTTGTAAAGTTCAAAAGCCGCATTGGGGTTGAGCGCGTTCCTGGATTTCTAATTTAATGACTGACGCGTGGCAGTCGCGTATTTGTTTACGCCCCAGAGCGAAAGTGAAAGCCCGGGTCTCATATCATAGACAGCGTTGTGAAACGCCAAATGGACTTCTCTCATCTACACAGTTGTTAACTCAACAGGCACTGTACTTAAATATTATTGCATATTAATGAGGGGACAGATGGGCGTGGGTGTGTTCCGTGAAAAGAGGTGTTTGTGTGCTCAGCATGCCTCAGCAAATACAAATAAATTAAAAACAAATTTCGAGATTCAAAAAAAAATAAATAAATGAATTGAAGACAATCAAAAGCAAGGGTAACAAAACGTAAGAGACTCGAGTTGAGTCGTGACTTGAGTCAATTTTAAATGAAAAAATATATATAAATTTAATAATTATAGTTGTGCGACTATAACCAATGCCAGTGTATATCTTTGTGCAGCTTTGAGGTAATCAATTGAATGCAATTGCATCTTTACTTTAATTTCAAGTTGTACTTTAAATTAAACATGAATATTCAAGAAAATACTTGATACATAGTTTATGGAATGCAAAAAATGTATCGAAAAATTGCGCACTTCCATCTTTCGTTGAATAAGTCATAAAATATTTCTTGAGTGTTTCAAAGTGCAGAACTTGACCATAAAATAAACATAAAATATTTGATAGAAGGAAGAAAACAAAGCAACAACAAAAATCAAAAATCAAAAACTATTCATAAAATATGCAGAAAATAAACACACATGAAATTGCCTTCAGGTAAATGGCTAAAAGTGCTGTCCAAGCCAAATTCCAAATATGTGATAGAATTTTCAGCAAATATTCACGAAGATTGGCCTGCCAATAGCTGAGGGGACAATAAATGCTGAGGCGAGCAATCACGAGCAAACATAGCTTATGATAATGCCCGAAAAATGTTCAAGTGTTAATATAAAGTCGTAGTCGCCGCCCAACAAAAAGCCAAGGGCTTCGCCCAAGCTGCCTTCCATAGCTTCAGTTGGCCGGCAACATTTTCAATTTCTTTAGAGGAGCGAGAGAATAAGAAGAAAAAAATAGAACTGAATGCAAAATGAAAAATTGTACAAAATATGCATAACGTATGCAAAAATAACAAAAGCCGAACAGAAAGCAAAGCCCACGGCAGGAACATGTTTATGAGTATTTTTAGATGCGTATGCTATGTGTGTGTGTGTTTATTTTTTTTTTCCATATTGAGTGCTGCAGCGTGACGAGATGGGCTCGAATCGATGAGACATATAATAGCTTCATTTATGGCTAAGACATAGAACCAATCTCGTTTATTTTAAATACTAAAATGCATGACTTTGGTGTATTTTATATCAGTGCAAGTTCACAAAAAGAAAGAGAGGAGAAGAAAACTTCTATTCAATCAAATAAAATAATATATTCAACTAAATAAACAAAAACACATTCACTAAAAAAAGAAATGCGTGAATAAACAGTAAATACACAAAATAGAAAGAAAATCATAATATATATATATCATATATCCTACTTATAGTCGTACGGTTACTACCCAGAGCCGTCTTAATGCAATGTTGATCAAAAACCATTTTTTTTTTCTGGAGAAATGCCATTATATTTTATAAAGTACTAACAAACAAAAATAACGATATTTATGTTTTCCAAATAATGGGACAACTCTTATGTTAATTAACTTTTAATGAAAAAAAACTTAAACATTT